GATTGCAACGTGTTTTTGCAACTTCACCGCACCTTGTTGCCGTCGTCCTAGAAATTGTGTCCTTACTTTGCAGACAGTGTACTTTATTTTAGCTTTACTTTATTATGAATATATATAACTATACTACATAATGTACATACATTAGCTTTGTTCGTTCATTAAACAACAGTCACAGACGTTCACTAAAGGTTCATTAAAAAGATGTACAATAAGTTAGATTCAGCGTTTGCAATGTTTAGCGACAGCAAGCTACAGACGTATACTATAATATACGTTCATTCATATCCCGATATTCCCCGTAAACAGCGCAGTTCTTAAACTTGTGGGGATTGGTTAAAATAAGACCCACCACCACAGACCGGACCAATCGGTTTGTCTGAATTTATTTTGTGGCTCGTAATTGGTCAGAGCCACGGCTCGGGGGTGTGGCAGTAGATGGCAAAGGCGGAAGTGTACGGGAAGGAGCAGAGTCCGTCTTGCGTCTTTATTTGTTTACAACAACATAGTGGAGAAAAATTAACTGTACGCGCTACCATATCGGAATTCTTATGAGAAAGAACGGTGTAACTCGCTTTATGTAATATGTAAGTTCACGTTATTTCTGTCGTGATAGCGATCGGTTGCAAGACCTGTTCACTCTAGACCAGCTAGCAGGAAGGCTATCAGTTACTACACCTAGCTAGCTGGGTAGCTAACGTCAGTGCAAAGCATTTAGTGAAGCTGTGTTAACTAAATGATTTTAGCTGGATGCTTGGAACTGCTGGTTTCTTTGTGATTCGAGATGAAGTTTTTTTCAGTTGCAACATCCTTGCTTTCTTGCCAGTTGCTTGGCTCAGACCGAAACCAACCAATTCGCCGCCTCAGCCTCTTCGTTTGAAACACAGGAAAACTACATCTTGGCCAACGTTACTTGCAGCAACCTTAGCGGTAGCTAGGTAGTTAAGTGTTGATCATAAATCCGTTTAAGATTAAGCGCGTGTGTGCAAATTCTGCTGCGAAAATAAGGAGATCGAAGCCGTAAGTTTGCAGCTATGTGCAGCTCTCTAGCTCTCTAAATGTTGTTGTTGGCATTGCAATGTGTTTTCCCAGTGCTGTATAGTTGGGTCGCTAGCCAGCTAACAGTACCACCGCGGTATCATGGCAAAAGTTTTACTGTATTCTTCAAAACATCTTAGCCTAGGGTGGGGCAGATAAGGAAACCTCCCTAACATCTGTATGAAGAGGGGCAATTCCGCTTCTCGTTGTGGGATGGTAGTTTTTACATTTTAAAGGATGTCATGTTCTACATCATCCCCTCACATCCTCTTTAGGGGGATGTTTATTGCTATTAACGTAATGATTAAAACGATAATGGGAAACAGAGGTACCAGTACGTGTATCAGTTCCCGAGTTCATTCTTACTGGTCTGTGTTGCAGTCGGTTACATTGTTGTCATTTACCAGACGCTTTTATCCAGAGCGACTTACAAAGTGCCACGAAGAAGTTGCACAAACAGGATATCGCAGACCGCAAATGAAAGAACATTTATTTTCTAATCATATGTTATTTCTGCTAAATAACAATAACGCAATAAAATGTAATGTATGGGGTGATCGCGATGGGGGAGCTCCGTTGTCTGTCGCTTTCAAAGACTGCCCGATGTCCGACTTTCAGGTGAGAGAGAGAGAGGAGGAGCTGGAGTGAGTTCTTGTCGGTGAGCTGTCCAGGTGAAGAATGCGAGAAGAATGCAGCCGGTAACCAGGAGAGATGCCGGAGTCTGGCATCAAACCAAGAGCCTGCTCCACAAGAACGTGCTGATCAAATGGAGAACCAAGCAACAGAGTCTGCAGGTACTGTGCTGTTTTCCATACCTGATGCCTAACTCACCTGCGTCGTAGTGGGAGGGACCTTAACTTTGATGATCTGAATGGGCACAGCCAAAATAATGCCATTATTCTTCAAAAAACATGCAGAATTGGAAATTAAAAGTTTGCTCCCAGAGAAGGTTATGTCATATCCTGAGCTTACTGGACATAGAAAACTGGTGGTTTTATATCAGAGTGTACCAGTGGCGGCTGGTGGTTGTAAAAGTAGGGGAGGAAGGAAGGTGCGCTTGGTGAAGTTTGGTGGTGGTGGTGTAGGGTTGGGGGGGGGGGGGATGGGTGTTAGTGAGGGCATATGCAGGCATGTAAAACCCAGACACATTTAAAGCAGCAGTAAGGAGTTTTGGTCAAATATACAGTGGGGTTGAATATTTTGTAAAAATGTATTAATAATTATTATGTTACTTAAGGTTTCAAGAACATTAATATTAATGTTATTGAAATGCATACGCATACGCATTAATATTTGCGTTATTGTGTTTTAAAAATTAAATTACCACTTATGTATAAAATATTAAAATATACATTAGCATATTCTAATTGAAACACTCTGAACTAAAAAAAATCTTTTTTATTAAATGGTCTAAACATTTTATTCTTTTTTATTAAATGGTCTGAAATTCGAAACAAACTTTAAAACAGCTGACCAGACAAAATAGTAGTGTAGTTAAGACTGCTAGCTGCTTAGCAAAACATTTTATTTCATTTAATGTTTGCAAGCTTGTTAGCTAGCTAGCTTCCTATACTCATTAGCTCGACTAGGCAGGTAACGTTAGCTAATGTTAGCTGGCTGCAGTCAGACTTTACATGGGTAGATGGCTAGGTCTGTACATCTGGTGTTGAACACACTGACCTTACCGTTTGGTTTGGTAATCTCGATTTTTGGAACTGGTCTCCCTGCTGCTCCCTGCAGAGCCTCTGGCTAGACCCGCCCAAAGGGAGGTTCGTCCTCCCTTACTGCCATTCACCCTCATGTTAAAAGCCAGGACTCACGAGCCGCTGGGGTAACAACCGTTTATAATGGACATCAATGAGAGGCTTGGGGAGGCCGGACCTCTGTGCAGTAATTTTCAATTGCGGTAGGGGGTGCTGTCGGTATTTTGACACGGGGGGACAATTTTTGTGACTTCGAAGTGTTAAAATAGTAATATTATCAGTGTTTTAACAGATTAATCTATTAAATGTTTGTGTATTCATTTTTCTCCTTGGAAGTTTATTTTTCTCTGAAATTTTAGGGAGGATGGTCCTCCCTCTCCTCAGTGGACGAGTCTCCTCTGGAGTGTACTGGATATGCAGGCAGCTTAATGCAGGAGGAAGATAACTCTGCTGTTGCGGTCAGAGCTTCTGTTGAGGAGGAAATTGTGCAGTTGCTCTTAACCAATTATCTCATTTGCTGATGGACTGTCTTGGCAGAAGATGCAGTGGATCCTCCAGCTCTTCCTTCATGTTTGCATGTCTTTGGTATGAAGTGTTCTGGTGCATCTTGGGTAGCTTGGAGGACAGCTGGGATTCTTGTTCAGTTTTTATAGCTAAAAAGTTTCCTTTACTGAAGAAAGTAAATGATTGTCACCATGTACAAACACACTTGGTACCTAAAGTCAGAGCAATTGCCAAGAAGTGTGAGAGTGACCCACAAATCAGGAACAAAGATGCCGAATAAATAGCTTTAGACCAGTGGTAACTGGTATGCAAATGGAATTGGTTTTCTGTAGACAGAACCTCCTGCTTGTATGAGTGAGCTTTCCTGAAACACCAGGCTGTCTGTAAGCCAGTTTAACTTAAGAGAACATTTAAAGAGCCTCATCACGTTGCGTGGTCAGTAGTCCTCACGCTTGCCTTTGTAAAGTGCCGTTCCAGACATTTCAGAAAAACCTCAGAATGCTTTACTGTATTACGGTGATGAGGGGAAGTGAAGTGGTTATTCTAGTCAACCACCATCCGTGTGTTGCTTTAGCGGGTCTTCCTCTGGTGAGATTCATTTTTATAGCGGTTTCCTGTACAGCTGTTACAACAAGAAGGTTTCGATACGGCACCCGATACACTTCAGAATATGTGTGGTCTAATTCTGTGTTGTGCACCGTATTCTTTAGTTGTGACTCATTTAGGATCCATTATTGTTCGTCAGTATCCATTGTCATTTATCTATATAGTTCCTCAGGTACAGTCTGAACAGCCCTGCTTTGATTCATATTAGCAAATTAACCAGGGCGTTTCATGAACTGGATTGTCACCAGTGGCATCCAGGCACTGTGCACAGTCTGTGCACAAGATTATATCCCAAAGCTGCTGGAGTTGAGGGTGTAATTATGATTTAGCTACAGACAAGTGTAGGTGGTCGAAAAGGTGTGAGCCGGGACATAATTCTGTTTCACGAATGACGTGTTTTAATCTGTTTTAATCTGCCGGCAGGCTGCTCCATGAGACCCCAGGAAACTGGCCCTCCCTAATGCAAAGGCCAGGCCTTTGATAGCCCCCTGGTTAGCGCATGCTGTCAGCTCCATTTGAACACAGCGTGGTGTCCCTTTGCTACCTGCGCGGTCTGCTGCCGGGCCTCAGGCGCATGATTGGCCAGTATGGTGTCAGGTGACGCATGGGAGCCTTCTGTTCCGAAACTTTCCCGCCATATGGCCGTGTGTCAAGCAAACACGCCAGACTGCAGGCAAGAGCGCCACAACCAGCGTGCTGCTATCTTCTGCAGACTGCAACATGCTTCTCGGGGAACCGATGAAAGGAGGAAGTGGTTTGATTAGGCAAGTGTAGAAAAAAGTTTTTATTTCTGGCTGAAGTTATTCTGAGTGCATTTTTTAACGGCTCTCCTCCTCCTTCCTCCCCCCTTCCCCAGGGTGGTGGTTGCATAGTGCAGTCAAACACCTTGCATAGTCTCTGCAATCATAACATCTCAACATCGTTTAACTTTCTGGGGAGTTCTGTACTTCAGAGGCTACCTGACACACATGAGCCCAGTGCTTTACATTACATTCTGATATTACATTATGCTTACATTATTGTCATTTAGCAGACGCTCTTATCCAGAGTGACTTACACAGTGTAAAATATCTACATGTGTCCACTTGTACAGCTGGATATTTGCTGAGGCAATTCTGGGTTGATTACCTCGCCCAAGGGTACACGGCATTGCCCCAGTGGGGAATTGAACCAGCAACCCTTCGGTTACGAGCCCTGCTCCTTACCGCTGTGCTACACTGGCGCCCCAGACGCTTACAGGCTACCTCACACGCGTGAGCACAGTACTGCACTTTAGAGCATTGCACGGCTGGGCCGGTGCAGAGGGGGACATGGGATGCAGGCAGCAGTGAGTGTAAATTGGTGGAGAATGAGTGACCCAGTGTATTTAGCCGATGCTCTTACCTGTAGTTAATTACATGGGTTACAGTTTTACAATTATGAGGCAATTCGGGGTTAAGCAGCGCCCCAGTGGCGAATCGAACCAGCAGCCTTTTGGTTACGAGCCCTGCTCCTTACCGCTGTGCTGCACTTTGCAGTAGTGCTCTGGGCAGACCGTGTGTATTATCAGCAGGTGAGCCCCACATTTTACTGGTCAAGGTCGTGGCTGATGTTTGACCAGGTGTGTTTGCCCCCCCCCTGCCACGGCTTCTGCAGGAGCTGATTCTGCCCCTGGTGCTGCTGGGACTCCTCATCATCATCAGTACCATGAACCCCCACGTCTACTACAGCGGCTTCCAGACGTCCGAGCTGGACCGGGACGGAGAGCTGTCCTTCAAGACCCTGGGCTACACCCCCATCAGCAACGTCACCAACCACATCATGGAGGAGGTGGCCAGCTCCCTGCGTGAGTCCTCCCCCCACCCACCCATCTCGCCTGTAACCTGCCGGGGTAGAAGCTGAGTCTGGTTGTAGCTGCAGCATCAACACCACGGTTTGACGAGCAAGCAAACAAAGGCGTAGCGTATCCAGTCAAACTGTAGTTTGGAGTTTAAGACATGCGGGTTTCGGTCTTAGGATCAGAGCCCCGGTACGGTCTTGTGAATGTGTATCGAATATCATTACATTACATTACTTTACAGTCACTTAGCAGACACTGTTATCCAGAGTGACTCCACGTTGAATGTGCAGCAGTGTCAGACCATGCTAATGACACTCCCAGACCAGTGAGTGTTAGCATAACGTTATTTAAGCCCTGCCACAAATTCACTTGTGCAACCTGACTAGACAGCCTAGAAACAAAGGGAAGCCAAGCACACACACTACCATACATCACAGTCACTAGTTCAGAGAATCCAATACACAGTGTGATGCTACATGTAAAATAAACGGCAAGTAATACAAGTAGCAGGTTTTAGGAGGTGGGGACTGAGGTGGAACCGAGATGCAGTCTGAAGAGGTGGATTATCATGTGTGACAGACCACAGGGGAATGTCGGTGTGCACATAGTGAGCTGCTCTCTGATTGGTCGGTTTGTCGGCGCAGGGGTGGACCTGGAGATGTTCTCCAGCGAGGAGGACATGGAGAACGCCAGCCTCTATGAGCCCTCCACCTTCGTCGGCGTGGTCTTCCTCGACGGGACGTCCTACCGCCTGCGCTTCCCCTACAACGAGCTGCCCCTCCCCAGCGACTACACCGAGTCCCTTGGTAACCCCGGCCGCCAAATGCACACCCCCCTGTCGTTTTAAAACTGACGGGTAAAAACAGCCGCCCGTAGCCTGTCCAGGGATCGGGTCTCACCGGGGGGGGGGCTGGGCAGAAACCCGGGAAAGAAGCGTCTTGGCTCGATGTGGGAGGAGTCTGAACTCTTAACGCCTGTCGCGCTACATCCACATCGAGAGGCTGTTACTTTACAGCCCAGTTTGAAATTAGACTGCTTACTGGGCTGTCTTTCCTCACACACATCTGACTGGTTTTTTGTTGTTGTTGAAGAGTGGATTAAATGGGTGTGTGAGGGTTTTATTCAAAGTTCAGTTACTGAGCCTGTTTTAGGTATTAACATTTCAGTTAAACATTCTGCTTATGCTCAGCACCAAAGCAAGGCCAACAGTGCAGTATACGCGTAAGGAGCAGGGCTCGTAACCAAAAGGTTTGATTCCCTGCTGGGACACTGCTTCGGTACCCTTGAGCCAAGGTACTTAACCCAGAACTGCCACAGTAAATATCCAGCCGTATAAATGGGTAACATGTGAAAACTCTAACCTGTGTGAGTCACTGGGTAAGAGTGTCTACTTTATTACAACAATGTAATGTTTGTTGTGGGTTTTAATCAGAGTTCAGTTACTGAGCCCATTTTAGGTATTACGTTTTGGATAAACCCCCCGTTTACGCTCAACACTGAAATCAAAATTAGAGTGCTTTTGAGCCGCTTGTATCTGGCTAGCTGGTGTGGTTGCCAAACGGTGGTGAGTGAGTGTGTATTAATGCACTCCCTTAGTGACTCAGCAAAGGCAGAAGTCACTGGCATTGGGTGAGGCCTTATGTCTTATTGCTCAAGTCCATCCTCACTGTGGTGGCACATTTGTAATGGGGGGGCTCACATACGCGTTTTTTGGCAAAAATTACAGTCCAAATCTGCCTTTGCACCTCATAAATGCTTACAGCTCTGAAGCAGGACAGAAACATTACATCATGTTACATTATTGGCATTTAGCAGACGCTCTTATCCAGAGCCACTTACATTGGTTACGGTTTTTTAATACAGTGTTATCCGTTTATACAACTGGCTATTTACTGAGGCAGTTGTGGGTTAAGTACCTTGCCCATGGGTACAACAGAAATTCCCCAGTGGGGAATCAAACCAGCAACCTTCCGGTTATGAGCCCTGCTCCTTACCACTGTGCCACACTGCCGCCACAACATCCGTTCATACCTGGTAAAAAAGTTTTCCGGTGATAAGTGTTTTTGTATCTGTCTGCGCAGCCAGCTGTTTCAGTAATAAGTGTTTTTGTATCTGTCTGCGCCTGCGCAGCCAGCTGTTTCAGTAACAAGCGTTTTTCTGTCTGTCTGTGCAGCCAGCTGTTTCAATAATAAGTGTTTTTCTGTCTGTCTGTGCAGCCAGCTGTTTCAATAATAAGTGTTTTTCTGTCTGTCTGTGCAGCCAGCTGTTTCAATAATACGTGTTTTTCTGTCTGTCTGTGCAGCCAGCTGTTTCAATAAGTGTTTTTCTGTCTGTCTGCGCAGCCAGCTGTTTCAATAATACGTGTTTTTCTGTCTGTCTGTGCAGCCAGCTGTTTCAGTAATAAGTGTTTTTCTGTCTGTCTGCGCAGCCAGCTGTTTCGAAGACTCGGTGACCTGCAGGGCGGCTAACTACTGGTACTCCGGCTTCGTCCGGCTGCAGGCCTTCATCGACGCCTCCATCATACAGGTCAGTCCTGCGGGTCACTCCCTCTGACACGGAGCAGGGAGAATCCAAGTGCAGAGATGACTCAGGACCCAAGAGGTTTGGCTCAAAGAAAATAAAGTTGTCCTTACTGGAGACGCAGGAGGAACAAGACAGAGTTCAAACACACTAAGCATGGCGACGCAAGACTGGGCAGAGAAATTAACGAATTGCAGGACTTTAATAACAAAGAACAGGTGTAATCAATTACAAATTAACACAGGTGAAAGACATTAACTAAGTGAGACATAGAGAGCGCAGGAAGTTATCTCGCCATCTGGTGGTCATCCCGGAAGCAGCAGCCGAATCCCTGACAACGCCTTGGTTTTGCCCCAGGATGCAAAATGTGAATCGCAAGCCCAGGTAACGTGAGGGCGGTCAGGTCAGCCTCGGGTGGCTGCGCACCTGTGGCTGTAAGGAAGGAAGGAATGACAGTTCTGTGATTATCAGAGCTTCAGCTCCTCGCCGCATCGTCTTTAGCAGTGCCTTCAGGGCCCCTCTGTGAAGCCGGGGCGTCAGACGGCAGCAGCAGGGGGTCAGAGGTGCGTCCCGAAAAGAAACTGCTCCCAACACCGGCTGCGTGCACACGTCTCCCACACCCAAGGTGTGACGGTTCGTTGAATCGGCCAATCGTGTTTCCGTACCGGACGCGTGTAGCGCGCACTGTTTCGGGGCGGGTCTGTGAGTTAGGGCTGCTGATGCTTCCCTGCTCTGGGCGGGTAGAAATCGGGAAGGTGCAGGGCAAACGCCTCTCCAGGCTGGGTGATCTGGCGCTCTAGATCGAGGCGGCGGTGATGAAGGCAGGGATGCCTCAGAGTTCCCAGGAGCACCTCAGTTCATCCCAGAGGGATTACACAGACTGGACCGACCAGAAGGTTGTATGATCAAATCCCAGGTGTTTTACCTGTGAGTGATCATACCTAATCTGCTTCAGGAGAGATAATTCAGGTGCATTGTAGGTAAAAAAAAAAAAAAAAGCTATGTAAGACACTTTGGATAAGGCTGTCTCAGTGAGTAAATAACCTAGAAGAGAATACAGTTCAGCTGTTATTGCTATTAGTAAAAATAATAATCAAAGTGAGATGATATGTGAAATTATAATGTAGACAAATAATAGCAATACAATGTAAGTGTCTATAGTGTGTGCAGATGTAGATGAATCATGACATGTGATGTCATGTTTTAGCTTAATCATGAGGTAAATGATGTTAGTTAAATCTATAACAAAGATGTGATGCATGAAATAAATCATGAAATAATAAAGTTAGGTAAATATACACTAAAGCTCTGACATTAAAACTTAATTATGAAGTAATCATGTTGGATAAATGTGTCATGAAGGTTGTGTCATTTAACCCTAATCATGAGGTAATAACGTTAGATAAGTGTAATAATGGGTAATAACATTAAATAAATGTGTAATAATGATGTAATAACATTAGATAGGTGTGTAATAGTGGGTAATAATTTTAGAAAAATTTGCTATAATGGCTTTGGTCTTTATTCCTAATTATGAGGTAATAATGTTAGTTTAATGTGTAATAATGGGTAATAACATTGGGTAAATGTGTAATAATGAAGTAATAACGTTAGGTAAATGTGTAATAGTGGGTAATAGCGTTTGATAACTGTGTAATCATGGGGTAATAACGTTAGATAAGCTTGTAATACTGTTGCGGTGTTTCCCGTGTGGCGAGCAGATGCAGACGAAGCAAAGTGTGTGGAACGTGATGTCGGGCCTGCGCGTGGTCATGATGGGGCAGCCCGGATCGGTGGAGATGCAGACCTTCTCCCACGCCGTCAGCTCCATCTACCTGGTGCTGGCGTTCACGCCCTTCGTCTCCTTCCTCATCGCCAACGTG